GCAAAGCTGTACGTACAAGAGTAAGTGTACAAAGAGTTTGTCCAATCAAGTACAAATTTCAGTCACACTTTGAAAGTGTTTAGTCATTTTAGTCATTTTAGAAACTTTTCAATTGGCATCAATAAGTTTCTCTTTGATTCTACGAGAATTGAAAAATAGCTAGAAAACTTGCTATTTGTTTTTTGTTGAAAAGAGAAAACGTAGATAGAAAAATAGTCAAAATCATCGAAATGATGTTTGGAAAAAAAAATTAAACAGATATTATTTAATATATTTTAAATGAAAATGATTGATTGTTGAAAAGTTAAACTAATTGTTGAAAAGTAAGCTCGTTTCTCTAAAGTTAAGCTAATTATTGAAAAGGTTAAGGTGGTTGTTAAAAAGTTAAACTAATTGTTAAAGAGTAAGCTGGTTTTTCTAAAGTTAAGCTACTTGTTAAGAAGTTAAGCTACTTGTTAAGAAGTTAAGCTAATTGTTAAAGAGTAAGCTGGTTTTTCTAAAGTTAAGCTACTTGTTAAAGAGTAAGCTGGTTTTTCTAAAGATAAGCTACTTGTTAAGAAGTTAAGCTACTTGTTAAGAAGTTAAGCTACTTGTTAAGAAGTTAAGCTACTTGTTAAGAAGTTAAGCTACTTGTTAAGAAGTTAAGCTACTTGTTAAGAAGTTAAGCTACTTGTTAAGAAGTTAAGCTACTTGTTAAGAAGTTAAGCTACTTGTTAAGAAGTTAAGCTACTTGTTAAGAAGTTAAGCTACTTTTTAAAAGTTAAGCTACTTGTTAAGAAGTTAAGCTAATTGTTAAAAAGTAAGCTGGTTTCTCTAAAGTTAAGCTAATTGTTAAAGAGTAAGCTGGTTTTTCTAAAGATAAGCTACTTGTTAAGAAGTTAAGCTACTTGTTAAGAAGTTAAGCTACTTGTTAAGAAGTAAGCTGGTTTTTCTAAAGTTAAGCTACTTGTTAAGAAGTTAAGCTAATTGTTAAAAAGTAACCTGGTTTTTCTAAAGTTAAGCTAATTGTTAAAAAGTAAGCTGGTTTTTCTAAATTTAAACTAATTGTTGAAAAGTTTAAGCTCGTTTTAATCTGCAAAGGCTTACCAAAAGGTTTTCAGAGTTCAGATCCTCCTTTGGCACACAAAACAAAAGCCAAGAACTAACAGGAAAATTCGGAATTCATAGAATGAACAGTATTGTAAGAGGTGATCCTTTTCCCATAAAATTTACAGAGATTTCCTGAAATTTCCCATTACAACTCAAGTGTTTCCCGAATGTAAGTTAAAATTTCTAGCATTTCTAGCATTTCTAGCATTTCTAGCATATATTACATCCCCTTAATGAAACAAAAATTCAAATTGAAATCTTTTATCAATTATCTCTGATAGTACGAGGGTTTAGACGCTGCAATCGAGGAAATGCCCGGATATTGGTCGCTTCTCGTCAATTGAAACCATCAAACGCAACTTGGGAAATGACGAGAAGTTGGCTAACTACGCTAAATTGCTCAACCAACGATTTTGAGATCATGATTCACAGGAAATTGGATATCTAATTGCATCATTGAACTGTAGAGACGCTTTTCCGGTTTTTTTTCTTTTTGCAAACTTTTGAGGTCAGCAATTTTGCATAAACGGGAACAGATTTTTTTGGGGAAATTTTTCGAGGATCAAGATTTTTTTGAATTGATTTTGATTCAATTGAGTTAAAGTATTGTACAAACAAGTTAAAGTACAAAGTACAATACTTGCCCATTACTTTATGGGTTTGTCAATAGAAAAGATGTTTTGCTCAAAAAAAAGCCATTATCTGAGGTTATCTTTTGAAAAGCAATCATTTTCTCAAAACTTAAAAGGAAATTGGGGGCTTTTGTGAGAGAAAAACATTGGTTAAAACTTAGAAATTTTTTTGATCTCTTTGAGCTAGAGAAGAAAGTGGGAAGAAAATTTTATAATTGTAAAGCAAAGTCGAAATGATACAAGTAAACGCTTTTGAAAGTTTATAAAGCAATAGACTTAAGTTCAAGACTTATCGTAGTTATTGTACTAGCTATTATACGTAGTTTACTGTAGGCTTACTGTAGTTGTAGGCTTGTCGTAGTTACTGTAGCCTTACTGTGGGCTTACTGTAGTTATAGGCTTGTCGTAGTTACTGTAGGCTTGTCGTAGTTACTGTAGGTCTATTGTAGCTCAAGACCTATTGTAGTTACTGTAGGCTTACTGTGCGCTTACTATAGTTTGCTGTAGGCTTACTGTAGCTCAAGACTTATTGTAGTTACTGTAGGCTTGCTGTAGGCGTACTATAGTTTACTGTAGGCTTACTGTAAGCTTCCTGTAGTTTACTGTAAGCTTAATGTAGCTCAAGACCTATTGTAGTTACTGTAGGCTTGCTGTAAGCTTACTTTAGTTTGTTGTAGGCTTACTGTAAGCTTCCTGTCGTTTACTGTAGGCTTAATGTACCTCAAGACTTATCCTAGTTACTGTAGTTCAAGACTTATCGTGGCCTTGAACTACAGTAAGCCAATGGCAAGCCAATCGAAAGGAGTGCAAAGAAAAGAAAAGTGATTCAAAATAGCTACAAGTTCTCCAGAGATTTGCACAACTTTATATAGGAAATTTTGTATAAACTGATTGATTTCTATAAGCTGATTGAATTCGGTAAACACGATAATTGGAGAGAAGTTGGCAGAGAAGTGGTTCCGGGTGAGAAGCCCCAATAGACACATCATCGTCGCCCACAAATATGGCCTATGGCTGTGCATATGGGGCACCATCCGAAACATAACAATATTGAGTCGCTTCGTCGCAATCGAATTACCCGCCGATGAATCTTTTCGTGGGCAATTCTTTTTCGTTTATCCTTTATGTGTAGGCGAGATGAGCTTTGAGCATTTGTGCTTTTGCGAAAGTGATTATTTTGCTTTCGCTTTTTGTTCTGGAACTCTTTTTGAAAAACGATTTTTTCGATTGTTTCTCTCACCCGATCAAAGTTAATTTACAAAAGTTTCCAAAAATTTCCAAAATCTTATAAAATATGCTTTTTTTGCGGGGGGAGATGGGGGAAAAAATTGAACAAATTACATGAAGTTACATGAAGAAAATTAAAGAAAAAAAAAAAAAAAACAAATTACATGAAGAAAATTTATGGTTCAAGGAAGTCTTTTTGTATTTTAAATTAATAAAATAAAAGTCTAAAAAGGAATCAAGATTTTCGATGTCACAAAGTTTAAAGAAGAAATTGATTTCAAATTGCAAAGAGATACGGTAAATACGGGAATAGTACCCCACCGCCATAATGACGGTGCGGAGTGTTGCGTAGTCTAGCTTTGAACGAGTTTTTCTCGACACTGGTTTATGCTACAATAGCAATACAATTATCAAAAAATAGCCCTGAATTTCAGCTATTTTTTGATACCAAAGACGCATTTTTTGAAAGTACGGGTGCTTTGCAAAAAAATGAAATACTAAAAAAACTTTTGCGACTACGTGACTGTACGAGGGCGGGTGGGGTACTCACATAAACCATGTTTCTAACTCGATGCAACACTCGTATTGATTGTAATCACAACAACGATAGTGATGAAAGATCGACTCTTGACCGCATCTTAAATGAAGCTAAGGTAACAGATATATCTAAATGTTTTTTGGATCTTATTAGTTTTTAGTTTTCGATTGAACGAACTGTTTTATGAACCTTAAACCTTACAATTCCTTTAGTCAGTAGATTCAAAATAGGATCGCTTACTAAAATGAAAATGGAAAATAAAAACTACCGTAAATACTGTAATAGTACCCCAGCCCCCATAATGACGGTGCGGAGTGTTGCGTAGTCTAGCTTTGAACGAGTTTTTCTCGACACTGGTTTATGCTACAATAGCAATACAATTATCAAAAAATAGCCTGAAATTGAGGGCTATTTTTTGATACCAAAGACGCATTTTTTGAAAATACGGGTGCTTTGCAAAAAATGAAATACTAAAAAACTTTTGCGACTACGCGACTGTACGAGGCGGGTGGGGTACTATTACAGTATTTACAATATAATCTAAAAAAAGGAATCTAAAATTGCTACTGACTGCATGACTTTTCTCTGTGTGATTTGTAGTCATAGTTTAGGTCAGAAAGACAAAAAAAAGCTACAGTATTCAAAAAGAATCCCATATGCAACATGTGGCTTCTTTTTTTGATGAGCTCTCGTTTTCATTGACACTCTTTTTTTTCTCTCAAATCTCTTTTGATCGCCAAAAAGATCAAGAGAAAACCCGACTTTTACTAATAATTGACTTCCTTTCGATAAAAACTCAATTCTCGATTGGTAACTTTCGTTTAGATATCTTTCTTTTATCTTGTATCCCGAATCTGCTTTCTCTAAATCCTCTAGAGCTTTTTTTGTAAATCGTGTGATTAAAGTTTGGAATGCCCTTCGCGACAAGTTGCGTTTGTTGCGTTTGTTGGTGACAAGTTGCGTTTTTTGCGTTTGTTGGTGACAAGTTGCGTTTGTTGCGTTTGTTGGTGACAAGTTGCGTTTGTTGCGTTTTTTGGTGACAAGTTGCGTTTGATCTCCACCGTGTCTGATTTTAAAAGGGCTATTTGTAAAAGGGAAACATCAAAATCCTCTTTTTAAAAAATTTTTTCGATTAAACTCGAGGCTTTTGGCGACTAGACGTTATCTTGCATCCCGAATTTGCTTTCTCTAAATCCTCTAGAGCTTTTTTTGTAAATCGTGTGATTAAAGTTTGGAATGCCCTTCGCGACAAGTTGCGTTTGTTGCGTTTGTTGGTGACAAGTTGCGTTTGATCTCCACCGTGTCTGATTTTAAAAGGGCTATTTCGTTGCATATTAAGTGACTTTGTGATCTTTTATCTGGTACATTTTTCATGTCGTTTTCGCACTTTATTTCTTTCTAAATAAAGTATTTATATATATATATATATATATATATATATATTGCATTATTTATCTCTCTATTTATTACAATTTATTCGAATTACTTTTCAAAAACTAATTTAAATTTATCTAATTTAAAAGCTCATAATAATCATATCTTTTGCGCGTCTCTAACAACTTTCGAATGCCTTTATAAACAAGAAAGAGGAGGACGAGAAGAGCGAAGCCGATTCCAATGTACAACATGATAGCTAAACATATAGCTAAACAATGTACAGAGTGTCCGAGAAAAAAGTGGTCATCGATTTGAGTCTGGAAAAAGTCTGGAAAAAAATTCAAGTCTAGAAAGTCTAGAAAAGTTTTCTCGTTGATTTTTCAAGGCTCATCGTGGTGTCAGAATTGATTTTGCCTCAGGCCACACGCAACAAGATGAAGTTGTTTTTTTGATCATTTTATGAATAAGGGGGTCATGCATTGGTCGGGGATGCTCAAAATCCATTTTGATTCTATTTTGATCTTAGAATCTTGAAAATAAGCGACTCCCAAGAAGTTGATCTTGGGAAAGCAGCAACAAGAGGGCTTTTCTCATTTAAAAATAAACCATATTTTCAAGATTTCTGAAAAAGCCAATCCAACAATGCAAACTGAACTTGAACAATGCAAACTGAAAACTCAAATTGTGACTAGAACATAAAAAAGAACGAAACAAATTTATAGAAACAAAAGTAGAAACAAAACAGAAACAAAAAAAAAGAAAAAAAAATAGAAACAAGACAAAAAGTAGAAAGATTTGTGGTGAAATAGAGGAATTTAAAAGTGTGTTTTTCATGTATACGTTGATTTTGAGCTCTCCGACTGATGCATGACCTCCTATTCACAAGATTATAAAAAAAATCAACTTCATCTTGTTGTGTGACGCCTGAGAAAAAACCATTTTTTCAAACCATGATGATTTGTGGTGAAATGGAGGAATTGAGAAGTGTGTTTACGTATACGTGGAGTGTGTATACATGGACTTTAAGCTTCCCCAATCAATGCATGACCCATTATTCACAAAACTATCAAATATCAAAATCAACTTCATATTGTTGTGGCCTGAGAAAAACCATTTTTTCAAATCATGATGATTTGTGGTGAAATGGAGGAATTGAGAAGTGTGTTTACGTATACGTGGAGTGTGTATACATGGACTTTATATAATGATTTGATCTGTCTTCGCACTTGGCTTGGCGCAGATCACAACCCGCTTCCACATTTACTGAGGTAGAAGTGTAGCTGTCGTAGCCGATGATACTCCGATGGCCGGGCTGGGGCGCTCGGAGGGGAGCCCATGGGAGTCGAACTCACGACTAACCCGCGCCGACGTTGCTCAACTTGGCAGATCGGACGGGGTCGACCACAGACCCTTCCCTTTCTGGGCCCCTACATGGACTTTAAGCTTCCCCAATCAATGCATGACCCATTATTCGCAAAACTATCAAAAAATCAGCTTCCTCTTGTTGTGACCTGAAACAAAACCAATTCTGACACCACGATGAGCCTTGAAAAATCAACGAGAAAACTTTTCTAGACTCAAATCGATGACCACTTTTTTTTTCGAACACCCTCTATAAATCGGATAAATCTATTTGTGAATGAAAATTCTATGTACTTTACTGTAACCACTACAGATTAAAAGCAGAAAACATTCTGTTTCTTACTCCAAAAAGTCGTCCCTTCATCGTTTGCCGGAGTTTCGGTGGCCAAACCATCAACCAATTCTGTCCCATTCAACCCTCTGTACGAGGCTTTATTCTCTAAAACTTATTATTGATAATAATTTCACTATAAACCATGTAATGTAATTTGATTGATAAGCCAATCTGTCCATTCATAATAGATCCTTTCTTCAGCATCTAATGTCTTATCGTGAGCGGTTGATACTTGCAAATGATGACTTTCCAAAGCGGTTATCTGTGATTTTTATAGTTTTTGTAAATGAAATATATCATCATTCTTATTCTTTTATTAATTTTCAATGTACACTACTGGACAATGAAATATGATATTTGAAAAACGATCGTCACTTTCGCGCGTCTGTAACTCCCTTGTCTTTACCGTATTTCTAAATACTAATATTACCATTGTGTAGCCCTTGAAAAGAGCTTTCAGAAAATGCACAACACTAATAGTTTAAACGCAAAGACAAGGGGAGTTACAGACGCGCGAAAGTGACGATCTTTTTTCAAATATCATATTTCATTGTCCAGTACTGTATTTACCAAATTCTCGGCTCCAAATGTGTCGAAACTAGGCGGATAAGTCTTGATGGAGATCTGGTGGCCAAGATTTCTGAAAGATTTCTAAAAGATTTTCTACAATTTTCTCAAATTACTCAAAAAAAACTATATAATGTTATTTTTGAAAATAAATAAACTAATAAATATTGATTTCAATAAGTTTTTAAAGAGAATCAAAAAGCTCTACACTATTTCTACAATTTCGACTCGCTCACAAACTTCTCATTCCAAAAACGACTCGCATTCGTGTAATATCCTTCTTTTGGCCCATCTCTCCAGAGATTTCGATCAAAATCTAAAGATTTAATGAAAATTTATTATCTAAGATCTAAGTTTTATTAGCTAAGATCTACAGTACTGGACAATGAAATATGATATTTGAAAAAAGATCGTCACCTTCGCGCGTCTGTAACTCCCCTTGTCTTTGCGTTTAAACTATTAGTGTTATACATTTTCTGAAAACTCTTTTCAAGGGCTACACAATGGTAATATTAGTATTTAGAAATACGGTAAAGACAAGGGGATTACAGACGTCCGAAAGTGACAATCGTTTTTCAAATATGATATTTCATTGTCCAGTAGTGTAAGTTTTATTATCTAAGATCTAAGATTTATTATCTAAGTATTATATTCTAGCTTACTGATATCAAAGCTTGCTGATATCAAAGTTTTATGATCTAACTAATATTATATTCTAGCTTACTGATATCAAAATAATTTCGATTTTTTCGATTCCAAGATTTCCATCGAGGATGTGGCTTTTCTCCGTTGATAAACTTCACCAACATTCCACTGAAAGGCAAAAAATAAAAGGGAAAAGTCAAAAATCAAAAGTGAAACAGAAATTCGACTCACCTATAGATTTTCTCATTCTCATAGTCTTTTGCAATGAACGGACCACGATGAATACCCATTACATAAATCTGAAAAAGCTTCGATACGATAAAGTTGATGCCAAATCGAAACTAACTCTAAAAGCCTGTACTTTAAGATTTGCTACTGTATTCGTTTTCTATTTTGCATCAAGTTTTACAGAAAACCCACATAATCCTCCGAATGTGAGGGTCTTTTCGACAAAGGGACATTGGTCCAATTTCGAAACGCTGCCCCAGCACCATTGTATGAGTACGAGTACACAAAAACATCAGCGTCAGTCTAATTTTCAATTTCTTTAACATTTGAGACAAATGAACCCTTGAAACAGCATCAGCCACCACAGCTGAACCAACATAAAAGTTGAGATCATCATAAAAATTTCGAGGTTTCTCATCTAAACTCATCTTTTTTAGCAAATTTCTTAAGCTGAAAGTTTTTTCGTTTATTTTCGTAAGCCCGTAAGCCAACAAAGCCAGTAAGACAACAAATTTAAGTCAACAAATGCACCAATTGAACTAGGATTTGTTTCAAACCCCATTTGTCACTCTCGAATTTGGTTGAGAGTGAGCGTGAGCGAAGTGAAGAGTGATTTTTTTTTGGATGTTTCTTATGTCTGGATTTTTTTTGAGAATGTGAAGTCGGGCGACGGCTTGATGATGCTTGATGATCTAAACCGCATCATCAAGCCTTCACACTCTCAAAAAAATCCAGACATAAGAAAAATCCAAAAAAAAATCACTCTTCACTTCGCTCACGCTCACTCTCAACCAAATTCGATTTAGACACTTTAACATAAGGAAATCGATTTTGGTGTCAATAGATAAAAGATAGAGGAGAAAAAGTTTGTTATATATTAGGTTGATGCAAAAGTCTTTTTCATTTTTTTCGTACTTCCGTTAAAAAGTAACAAATGCACCAATTGAACAACGGTTTATTGCATTCGAAAGGTCAATTATTTTTCTGCAAAATGACACTAAAACGAGTTTAAAATGTCTTATGTCTAGATTTTTTTGAGAGCCTGAAGTCGGGTAGTCAAAAAAGGCGACGGCTCGATGATGCATTTTGGACGCTTTAGCTAAGGAAACCAATCTTGATGTTAATAAATAAAAGATAGAGCACAAAAAGTTAGATATTTTTTCAGATTTTCAGAGAAATTGATTCAGCCAATTTCTTTATAGAGGTTTTTATAGAATTTTATGAAAAACCCGTTTTCACTCTCGAATTTGCTCGAAAGTGAACCCAAATTGACTTAAAAAGATGGGAAATTGAACAATAAACACTTTTCATTTAGAGCAAACCATAGGTTAATTGATGACTTTGTTATTTTTCAAAAGAAGTACGAAAAAAATGAAAAAGACTTTTGCATCAACCTAATATTATATAGTTATATAGTTCAATTTTTTTAAAGAAATTCATTCAGCCAATTTTCTCGTAGAGGGTTTTTTTTAAGGATTTTTCATCAAAAACATTCTCGAATTTTGAGAAAATTTGACTTAAAAAGCTGTGAAAAATTGTAGTAATTGTAGAAATTAAAAGTAAAATTGTAGTACAGTCGAACCTCTCTATAACGAACCTCGATATAACGTAAACCTCTCTATAACGTAAGGCGTGACCGGTCCCGGCCGACGTTAGCTATAAAACGGCACTCACGTAAACCCATATAACGTAGCTTGCCGTCCCGTGAGTTACGTTATAGAGAGGTTCGACTGTACTTTAAAGCTCTGTTTTATTTAGCGCAAAAACGATAGGTGAATTTGATGAATATTTGATGAATATTTGTTATTTTTCAAAAGGAAGGCAAAAAAAAAAGACTTTCTGAATCGTCTAACATAAAACTTTTGTGCTTACACTTTGAATAATATTCCTGGCACTTGGCCACGAATTTCCATGGATCCTCAAAAGCCATCTCAAAACCGTAATGAGTGCACATTTCTCGCAACTTCACTAGATCAATTGAACCATCCTCATTCTCGATATAGCTAAAATTATTTTTTTTAAAAAACTCCCTTCTACAACTTCTTCCATACCTTCCCTCTTTTGACTCAGCTGTTGTCGTTCCAATGAGTGTTCGACGCTTGAAACGCCGTAGTTGCGAGATTGGTTTTGGTAACAACTAGAAATAAATGCCATTATTATTTAGACACTTTAAATCATAAACCCCATTAGCGCCCTCGATTCCAGGTCCATAAAAGTCTTCCGTTGAGTTGTACAAAGAGATTTGTGCCTGAGATATTGATGAATGAATGAATGTGAATGATTTACTTGCAAAATCTCTTCATAAGAAACTCGTCGTAGACAAGGTAGACCTACTGTAGCTCAAGACCTATTGTAGTTACTGTAGGCTTGCTGTAGGCTTACTATAGTTTGCTGTAGGCTTACTGTAGCTCAAGACCTGAGATTTTGTGCCTGAGATATTGATGAATGAATGAATGTGAATGATTTACTTGCAAAATCTCTTCATAAGAAACTCGTCGTAGACAAGCCAGCACCAATTCGATTTGCTCTTTCGATAGATGTGATTTCACTTTATAGGAAAGCATTTTATTTGCCAACTTCAGCGGGTTATAGCAGCCGACACGAGTTGCAATTGCCAGCGATGCTCTCTCGTTTTCAGCTGCACTAGACTCGTTCTACAGGATTTACGACTTTCAAAACTAGAAACACATTCGTTCTAGTGCATTAAACAGTGCACTAGAAAGAGAATGTTTCAAGTTCTAAGAAAGCTATTGAGTTTTTTGCTTGTACCAACTTAGACTGTATTCTGCTCCAAAAAGCGATGCCTGACCACTCATTAAGATCACTTGATTGAAGAGATTTTCTGATGCTGGACTCAAAGATACCTAATGCTTTGTAAATAGAGTTTTTTTTCCTTCTCAAATCTTTACCAAATCTACTAGACCAGCACCCGATGAGTGTCCCATTAGCGTGACTCGAGCCGGATCACCTCCAAAGCTAGTGATATGATCTTTCATCCATTTCAGATGAAATAAGATATCTAAAAGAAGATATCTAAAAGATTATAAATGAAATGTTTTCAATTCTCAACCATGTAAAGCAATATTTCGATCAGCAGAACAGTCGATTCCTGGAGCAATGTTCAGAGAGCCGAAAGAACCAAGCCTAAAAGACTCCAAGAAAGTTTATTTGTGTTGCAGTTGTGATCACCTAAACGAAAGCGTCACAGCTATCACATTTCTCCCTTGTGCCGGGAAATTATTTGCGACGACTTCTTTCGGGAAAATCACCGGCGACTCGAAGTTAAATTTTCCTCCATGTACAATTGCCACCACTGCACAACCGCCCTAAAACCTTAGATAGAACGTGGAAAGTACGGAAGAATAAGAAGAGGCATTTTAAATGCTAATTTCGAGAGCGTCTTAAAGTCACTAGCAATTCCAGACCGAATATCTGTCAATCGTTTAATGTTTTCATGGCAATTACAACTTCTTTCATTGAATCACATTAAAGAAAATGAAAGCACTTTCGATCGAATCCGAACAGATCCGAACCCGCGGCCCCCATCACCCAGGAGGATCTGCAGACCGACGTGCTATCCCCTCGACCACGCCTGCTTGCCGAAATCCGCGAAAAAATGGGGCCAAATGCAGACAGATCTCAAGAATAGGAAAAGATCTCACCGTACGTAAGCAGTAATCATTTGTGAAAATATTCAAATGAAGACAATCCTCGCCTACCGGTCCGCCATCATCGTTTTTATAAGTTAAACTGAAATTTTGAATTCATATTTCAAATTGCTCGAAAACTGACGGCGGATCGGCCACACAGGCCACTCGATAGCTGGTCGCCTCCTGTAAACCCTTCCAGTCACGTAAAGCGATCGGCTTTTTGAATCTAAATTAAACAATTTAGATTATAATAAACAATATTATGTTTATCATAAACAATATTATGTTTAGAAGCACTCGTAAACAATTTAGATTATCGTAAACAATATTATCAATGTTTAGATTTTTTTTTAAACTCTAACAAACCGATTTTCTCCGCCAGTTGTTTCAGCTACAGGAATGCCTAAAAAAGCGGTGATTGTCTCGTTGCTGGGAAAAGCCTTCACTTGTGTTCCACGTAAAAATCCTAATCTTAAAAAAAACTTTCCGTTAAGATTTTATTATATTTTTTGACTTTGTTTGCAGCACAAGTGTATTGGGATCAAAATTCGAAAAGCTGATGACAAAATTCAGCAGAAAGCAGACGATTATGAGTAATTGATGAGCAGACATTGAAGCAATAATGGCGGAAGCGTTGACACAAAGCGTTTATGAGTTAAAAGGATTCTTTTTTTTTGGGGAAAAAAGGATTGTTTGTTAGTGTCAGGAGTGATAAGGAGGAGATTCCCCTCTTGCATCTGATTTTCATTCAATCACTTCCCTTTCACTCTCTTTCAATGACACTCACTGGTCACTCACTACGGACTACACGAGCAAACCACGAAAATAGTCACAGAGTTGTGTCTAGTCAAAATACAATTGTCTTTTTGTGTAGTAAAGAAGAGATTGGATATGACAAAATGAAGACCGCTAATCGATTCCGCAAAGCGGAAAATCTATCAAGATTTACAGCAAAATATCTTCTGTTTGTACAATGCAAGAGAAAAATCTTTTCGATTTATAATATAATAGCGAAAAAATTTTGTCACATCGATTTCACGTTTCGTCATTTAATGGGATTCTCGTTCGAAGACGCTAATTCAAGAATACTAGAATGTAAGTTAGAGTAAATTAATTTCATTAGTGGTATCATCCAATAATGGTTACTACCTCACGCGTTTCTCCGAAACAGTTCGCCTTTAGTCAAACCAACATTTTATCACTATTCGATACATAACTAATATGCTTTATTCAATACACGAATAAGCCGCCATGCAAAAAATTTAAATACCTAATTTATTTTATTTGCCTTTCGAGTATTTCAAAAATTTCAAGTATTTCAAAAATTTCAAAAATTTCGAAATCAAAAAAACCATTTTTTAGCTTGACTCCGGTCTGCTGATTGTCGAATTTTGGCCAGCAAATTTAAAGTAAAAACAGTAAAAACCGTGAAAATGTGTAGAATGTTGTAAATAAAGAAAATCTCAGAGAAAAAGTGAAACGATTTAAGCAAAAAAATCTGGAAAATTTTGCTGTAAATCTTGCTAGATTTTCCGGGTTGCGGAATCGATTAGCGGTCTTCATTTTGTCATATCCAATCTCTTCTTTACTACACAAAAAGACAATTGTATTTTGACTAGACACAACTCTGTGACTATTTTCGTGGTTTGCTCGTGTAGTCCGTAGTGAGTGACCAGTGAGTGTCATTGAAAGAGAGTGAAAAGGAAGTGATTGAATGGAAATCCGATGCAAGAGGGGAATCCCCTCCGTTTGATCGTCCTGATTCGTTTGATCGTCCTGTTGCCCGCCTTGAATTTATGAAGCCATTCTTGTGCAGTAGTCACTCCGACCATTGTTCCTCCATATCGATTGATCTCACGAGCTGCTTCGGCCGCTGAAATTCCTCTTGTCCATCGTTGGAGCAGTTGGCCGTGAGTTTCTTCTTGAGTCGGCATCCTTTGATCGATCACAAGTCTCTTCACGTGTCGACTACTAAAAAACAACTATTAGTAAATGAAAATAGAATATTGTAGCAAAAAATAAAAAAATAGGAATATAAACCACTGCGTTAAGGTGAGTACGATTAAAACAAAAAAAAAACTTGGTTTTATGGGACAACCACATTTTTTTTTAAACATTTAAACATTTTAAATCCAAATTGTTTTTTTTACAAAAGTGAGTGCAGCGAAAGAGGAAAAAAAATTCAGAGTTTATAGAAATATTTATCGAAAACATGATCTTCTTGCTTTAAAAAGATAGCGTCGTTAGCTCATATGAGGATCGAAAACGGTAACTCTAAATTTTCTTATTATGTAGGAATTCGCGTGAGTACAATCGACTTTCGATTTAATGACTATCGATTGAACAATTTTCTTGGTTTCTGCGTAGCTACCCAGCCAAACACAATCGTTGGTCGTTCAGGGCAGCTACGCAAGAAATTTTGGACACTTTTTAGAAATATTAAATCGAAATTTTTGATCCCGAGATCGAGATCATTAAATCGAGATTCGAGACTGAATTTCTCTTGGTTAAATATTAGGTTTAATGCATATGAAATGACCGCAACTTTGAAATGATTTTTCTCTCTCATTTCACCATAGATTTCTTTCATTTTATTGACATAATATAATTAATATGAATATTAAAATTTGAGCACATTTTGCGATTGATCCGCTGAGAACGGTCAGCTGGAAAAGGCAAAAAAAACCAAAACTTTATGTGACCGTCAAATCGGTATTCCAGCATAAAAAGATCAGATTTCTTTTATATGCTGGATCATTAAAGTTATCACATGTCAATTCCAGAGAATTCCATGGTGAAATGCTGAAGATTTAGAAGATTTACGAAAGTGTTAAAGTTGGGTAAGTTGAACCGGTCGTGTGCTTGGCGATAGTTTGAAAAAGTTGACATAAAAAGGCTAATAATAGCCCGCAAATTTGCATCTCCTTTTGGCTGAATATTTACGAGAATTAGATTTTGCTGCAAGCCCCTGAACGCACAAAAGGTGGGGAACCTAAATGTGGGGAACCTAAATGTGGGGAACCTAAATGTGGGGAACCTAAATGTGGGGAACCAAAAGGTGGGGAACCTAAAGGTGGGGAACCTAAAGGTGGGGAACCTAAAGGTGGGGAACCTAAAGGTGGGGAACCTAAAGGCCCCTGGAATGGTCATCTACTTAATGGGTTGCTGATGCTTGGGATTCAATTTCGAAAGAAGTCATTCGTCGATCCTTTAAAAGTTGTGGCGTTTGAATCGAGTGAAGCTGACGATCAGCTGATTCACTTTTTTAAACCCTTGCCCCAATTCCTACAGGACTACAATCACTCAGGGATGCTGATGTCGAAACAGAAGTCGATGAGCTCCTGGATCCGTTTACTTCAGCAAATCTTCTCGATTTTCGTCAAGAAATATTTAAGGAAGAATTTGAAGCTGAAATATCCGTTGATCTAGAGATCTAGATCTAGATTTAGATTCAATGAATTTGAAATTTAAGATAGCCTTTCTTTGTGAATAGTTTTACTGTGTGTTCTTTTCAAACTATCGCAATTTAGTTCAATTACCCAACTTTAGCACTTTCGTAAATCTAGTAGAAAAGCGATTTCAGGATGATTATTTACCAAAATCACTTCAATCAAAAGGACTCCAACGGAGACTCCAATGAGAATGAAATAGAAGCGAAAGAGCGGCCACAGATAGATCAAGCCGAGTACGTAGAATTCACTTGACGAGTGAACGGGGCGCATGTAAGGCGTATATGGATTTTGATACCTGGAAATGATAATGAAATATTAGAGCAAATGAGATTTTCTAAAATCGAGCTAAACTAGACTTTAGACTTGAGCTAGACTAGAGTTAAACTAGACTTTAGACTTGAGCCAGACTCGAGCTAAACTAGACTTTAGACTTGAGCCAGACTCGAGCTAAACTAGACTTTAGACTTGAGCTAGACTCGAGCTCTTAGGCATATCTATATCATCATGAAATCTAGTGGTTTTAGCTTCTATCATTTACTAGATTTGATTTGGTTGACTTTGAGCCGAAAAAATAAAGTCTAGCTCTCTTCTTCGTCTTTGAAATGATATTTAAATGTTTACGACAGATAATAAGCCTTTAAATAAGTGATGCTAAGATCAAAAACCCTGTATAACTGATGCTAAAAATCACTTAATTTTTAACTGATAAGTACCTGGTTGCAAAATACGTATATGATCCCTGAAGTGTTTCGAGGCCTCTATTCAAGTTTTCAAGAACTTTTCTCGGAAGTTTTCTAAATTGTTAACGTTTTTATGAAAAGTTTTTATGAAAATTTGTAAAAAAAAACAACTTATTAAGCGCATAAGAGAGATGACTTGGTTGAAGAGAGGAATCTTTGATGAAGAGCAATTTTTTCTTACGAATCACGACAATATCAGCGGGAATGGAATGCTCGTGCAGTCCGACAAACATCACAGACTTGGATGGCATGTACTGAGATGTTTGAATTCAAGTAAAAAAGATTTCGCTTACATCAAAAGGATCCCGTTCTTTTGAAAAGTGGATGGCTCTGTAAGTTCTTTGTTCTAGGCCTGCTTGACGAGTCCGGGCAAAATTTTCATTTTTTTACTTCATAGTCAATGAGGAATAGCTTTTGGAATTTCCCTGTGTGTGTTATTGTGTAAAATGGAAAAGTGAGCGGCGAAAATTCAACGAAACATTTAAAAACTTCTGCTCTGAGTAATAATGGAAATCAAAAAGCAATAGAACTGGATATCTTGTAAGCAATTTTGTATTAAAAATGGAGAACAAGCTAGACCTGCTTGACGAGTCCGGGCAAAATTTTCAGACAGTCTGCCTCGGTCTTCGATTTTTTTACTATCCAAAGCTCCTTTAAGCATGAAACCCAGCCCCCCCCCCCAAGCCATTATTCTAGACTTCATTTTAATACTAAAAATGACTAGATTATGTTTTACCATTCTTTAGATTTCGCTCAATCTTTCGCCAGACTCGATAAGCTTAATGAGTCCAGAAAATTATCTAAAGTGATTGAAATCTAAAGAATGGCAAAACAGAACCTACTCATGTTTAGTATCAAAATGAAGTCTAGAATAAAGGCTTGCGAGGGAACTGGATTTCATGCTCGAAGGAGCTTTGGGCAGTAAAAAAATCGAAGAGCAAGGCAGACTGTCTGAAAATTTTCCCCGGACTCGTTAAGCAGGTCTAGTTTGTTCTCCATTTTTAATACAAAATTGCTTACAAGATATTCAGTTCTACCGTAATCGCTTTTTGATTTCCATTATTACTCAGAGCAGAAGTTTTTAAATGTTTCGTTGAATTTTCGCCGATCACCCAGCCGCTCACTTTTCTATTTTACACAATACCACACAGGCAAATTCCAAAAGCTAGCCTCATTGACTATGAAGTAAAAAAAAGAGCTTAAATAGTGTAGTTTTTAAAGGTTTACTGTTTTAAGGCTTTCTCTAGTCGTGCGCATTGTGATTGTCTACAAAAGATCATCGGATCCCAGCCGATCTCATCTTGCACAACGATACGCCAACCTCAAATTTAACCATCATCTTTAGATTTCATTTATTTCCTCTCATTACCATTTTTCTCGACTGAATCCAGTAAACCGTCAAGATTTACGAAATCAAAAC